TAGAGAAGGCAGAGTGGTCAGCAAGGCCAAAGCTGAGTTCACAGGCAGGCAATGGAAAACAAGGGGCTGCAAAAAGAGTCCAGGACTGATACTGACATGCTCCAAATGCCAACTGTGGGATATGTGCCTTAGCCCCATGGTTCTGGAAACCCCCAGAAGGCCATGGACAGAGGTGCCCCAAGGACACTCGAGATCCTGCCTTGCCCACAGCCATCTCCCCCGTGCCTGGAACAGTACCTGGCACATTTATTGATGGAAGGAAAGAATAAACAAATGATTTACATTGGAGAACATACTTAAATGTAGAGGCTGGGGAAGGACTAAAGACAGGAGGACCCCATTAAGAACTCACAGCAATATGGAACCCAGGAGGCAGGGGTTCCAGTGAAACGAGATCACGCCACTGCACTCCAACCTGCGTGACAGAGCGAGACTCCATCTCAAAAAAAAAAAAAAAAAAAAATTCACAGCAATCATCCGGGTGAGAATTGACCAAGGAAATCACTGGTGATGGGTACCGAGAGAGGAGCACACAGTCAATCAACAGTGAGGGTGGGCTCAACAGGACTTATAGACTAATGAGATACAGTGTACACAGGGCAAGAGGTGTTAAAGACACCTGGCCACTATCCTGATGAAGGAAGGAGAGGGGAATGGGCTGCTTGGGAGAAGAAACCTGTAGGGCTTGGAGATGTGAGATGCTCCAGGCCCACCCTGGAGAACAGCATTTGCATCCTCCACTGAGCAGATATTGTGGGGAGGAGCTAGCACGGGTGGTGAGAAGCAAACAGCGTGGAAAGTAAGAAAGAGCATGATTACTGCAGCCTCCTGCAGAGAGCCAACAGCCTCCCTGAAGCTCTTTTCTCTGCTCACCAGGCCATGCATCCCCTTACTCAGGGACACAGCTCTAGAGACAGAGGAGTGACTGGATAACAGAAAGGGAAACAGGGGTGCAAGGGTGTGCAACTCATGGCGGCAGGGTGTAGTGCCAAGCTGGGGCCTCTGGCAGCAGCTGAGGTGTCAGGGAACACAGATGTGAGGAGGGCCCATCTCACCAGTGGAAGCTCACGGGGAGGTTTTCAAGCCGCATCCGAGCTGGGGCTGGCAGGACTGAGGACGGATTCTATGCTTCATGGGGAGAGGACCAGGGTGGCTCCTTTCCCACATATAGGCATACGTTTGGGTGATGGCGTCATTACCTTGGTGTTCCCTACACCCTGTTCCAGAAATTTTGAGAAGCTGGGAGGAGCCAGCAACCTGCTCACGTCTGTGAAATAGACCCTGCCCCTAAACTGTCCTCTATAGATATAGAGACTGCAGGCCAGGGCAGGGGGGCTCCAGGTGCCCAGGGAATATGCTCAGGGTGATCCTCCGACAGCCAGCCCTCAGACGACACGTGGTTCCCGGGAAGGACTTTGAAAAGCTGAAATCTCACCCAGCCACGTGGGCTCCTCGGGAAGGATCCGTGCAAGGGTTCGCAGGTCCACCCTCCCCAGGCTCACAGAGAAGGCCCGGGCTGAGGGGTGGACCACAGGTTTCACTCGCACAAGACCATGGCTTTGGGTTTGAAAAGGACACATTTATTGAGTACCTACTATGTGCCAAGCTCTGTACTAGACACTGAGGATACAAAGATAAATGTGACATGGTCCCTGCCTTTAAGGAGTTCACAGTTCATTGGAAAAAACTGACATACAACCAAATAATTAGAATGTGTAAGGCCATTCTAAGGATTAAATGAGCTGGGTATAGTAAGTGGGAGACAACACTAAGTCATTTAATCTTCACACCAACAGCCTGGGAGAGGTGGCATTGGCCCAATTTACAGGAGAAGAAAGTGAGGTTACATTGGTGAAATCACTGCCTCAGGTCATACAACTAGGAAGAGACACTGCCAGAGGAGTGCTGGAGCGCCACACAGCCTCGTGAGAGTCACTTCTGGGCCTCTCTTCCCAACTGTTTGCTCTGTGGTAGCTCACTGGTGGCTTGAAACTTACCAACAGATGGCTCACAGAAATCGGCAAACACTACCAAGCAGGTGACAGCCTGGATTCAGGTTCCAGCTTTAAACTAAAGACTCTCTCCAGTCCCCCCTAGAACATTATCTGAATTGAACTGCCCACTCCCTCTAAAAAGGCTGCCTCCCCAAGAGACTCACAGCAGCTTGCCCTGGACAAGACCAAAAAAGACAATGGATGTGGTCTGCCTTGGGAGTCCCCAAGGGCTGTGCAACGCAGTCAAGTCACCGTCCACTCTTCAGCTCTGAGCTAGCATCTCAGCAGACACATCTGGGCCAGATAAGCCAGTGGGCCTGGGATGGGAGGGACAGAGTGGACGAGGAGGAAGAGGGGGCTGCGAGGGAGAGCACGTTCCTTTCTCTAGAACGCTCATCTGGAGAATGTGGTGTGATGAGTTGATTAATCTCCATCTCCCTCACCAGCACCACAAAGACAAGGGCTGTGGCTGGCTTCACTAACCATGGTAGCCCAAGTGCAAGCACCACACCTGGGCAACAGGAAGCCCCACACCAAGATTTGTTGAGTGAATGAATGAGCTAATGAATGAAGCAGGAGGCCATAAACGCTGAGGGTGTACACCTGCCTCCCTCCAGCATCTTCTACCCACCCTATGAGGAGGGAGGGGAGGCTGCAGGAGAGCTGGGCCACCCGGGGTAGAGTCCAGGTTCTGCTACTTACGAGGTAACCTGTGCCTCTGCGTCCTCCGCTGTAAAACGGGGTCTGTGGGGTTGTCCTGAGAAGTAAATGAGTTAACATTTGTGAAGTACCTGGCAGGCAGTAAGCCCTACGTGTGTTAAATGATAAGGAAGACACCCCACCCCGCCCTCCACTCCCCAGATCACTCCGCCTGTGGGCAGAGACCATTTTCTCCTCTGCTCTTTCAAGGTAACTGTTCGGCCCTTTCCACCCCAGAGGGTTTCCCTGGGGTAAAGAACCACCGCCTTGTCAGAGCTCCGAGCGTCCTCCCCTTCTCCCCACCCCGTCCCACCTCCAGCGTCCCCACCCACCCACCTCTGTCTCTCTGTAAGTGACCCTGAGCCTCGTCCAGCTCCGCCAGGCCCCCAAGCTCGCGGAAGGGGCCCCAGCAGCCCCGCTGCGGGCTGGGGGTCCGGGAGGCTGCAGGTTGGACGCGCCACCCCAGTCAGAGCAAGGGCTCGGCCCGCATGCCGCGGGCGCCACCCAGTGGCCACCTGCGGAATCGGCGGCGGAAGCGTCCTGCTAGAGCCTGGAGGCCCAGAGGTGCCCCGACTGACAAAAGGGAGAGAAGGTGGAAGGAAGGGCGTATCACCAAAGGGACTGCTAGCCTGTAGGTCATAGAGCAGTTCATTCAGTCCAGGAAGCAGTGATCCGTGGGCAGGGCTGCAAGGGCGTCGATGCACAGAGCCTGCAGGGGCCCTTTTCTCCCTGTGGGTTAGACATCCCCGGCCCCAGGAGACCCCTCCCATAGGACAATCTTTGGCATGAGTCTGAGGTTCCTGCTCCTGGAATCTCTGGCTTCCCTGTACGGAGCGCATTACACCCACAGCGCCACAGCTCTGGGCTGATGAGAAGACAAAGACGGGACTCTACACCCTGACGCTGGAGAAGCGCCTCGCTCCCTGGCTGGAGTCTCTAGGGAACAGCATTTGGCGTAGAGTCCAGGTTCTAATCCCAGCTCTGCCCTGACTCTACGTGTGCCCAGCCCATCTGTGCGTCGATGTTCCCATCTGCGGAAAAATGATGATAAAAATAAAAATCTACCCAACCTCCTTTCCGGAGGTGGGGGAGGTGAGGCGTGCACGAAATAATGCTGACAAAAGCATTTTGAAGACCAAAAACCATGGTATTCAAAGTTTCCGATCTGTGATGGCTTTAGTAACCAGGTGAATACAAGAAATTACAAATACACTTACTTAAAGAGTAAGCCCCTCAAGTTCTGACATTAAAAACTCCTCAAACAAGAGACTTTTGTTTGGAGGGGAAAGAAAGGAGCATGCAGTTGAGATCCAAAAATACAAAGTTCCATATGGGAAATTTAAATGATCTTAAGGATTTTACTATATAAAATTTAGAAGGCAGCTCGCTCTTCAGGAAACCAGTAGAATAGACATTACAATCCCCAAAGACGTTTGGAGGACGGAGAAGCCAAAAGTTAACTACGATCCTACTTGATCCACTTCAAAAGCAGAATCACAGAACCTCACAGTGACCTAGGACATCCCAACAGCCACCAGCATCTATCCAGAGTGCACATGAACACCTCCGCCTGCCCACTTGTATGGGGCTATTCCTTGCACAAGAACAAATCCACCTGCAGACCCCATTCTGATAGCCACAGCGGTGGAACCCAGGCCCCTGACTATTGGCCCAGTATCATGAGAACAAAGCTGTCCCCGACTTCAGAGTTCAGACCTGGAATCTCAAGGCAGGATAAGAACTGACCCCAGAGTGAGGGAGAGAGGCAGCCCTGGCCCAACCTCTACCCCTAAAATAGAGCAGCGAGCCAAACAGCATTCCCTCACTGCCTGTGTACCATGGGTAGCAGCTGCGGGGAAAGCGAGAACACCTGCTTCAGGAGAGAGGATTGGGGCAAGCTGAGCAGGGGCCCAGCACCTGGCAGGGCAGGGCAGACCCGAATGAGGGATTTCAGCTCCTCTGATTAACACATCTCCTCAAAGTCCGTTTTTTGTTTTTGTTTTTGTTTTTTGTGTTTTGTTTGTTTGTTTGTTTGTTTTGAGACGGAGTCTCACTCTGTCACCAGGCTGGAGTGCAGTGGCATGATCCCGGCTCACTGCAACCTCTGACTCCCGGTTCATGCCATTATCCTGCCTCAGCCTCCCAAGTAGCTGGGACTACAGGTGCCCACCACCACGCCCAGCTAATTTTTGTATTTTTAGTAGAAACAGGGTTTCACCATGTTGGCCAGGATGGTCTCCATCTCTTGACCTCATGATCCGCCCACCTCGGCCTCCCAAAGTGCTGGGATTACAGGCGTGAGGCACCGCGCCCGGCCCTAAAAGTCCTTTTTGACATGCAGGGTCCTGTGCGGATCCTAGCAGCCCCCTCCTTTTCCCTCCCCTCTCTTACTGTCTTCCTTCCCTCTCTTACTATCTTCCTTCCTAAGTAGAGAGGGGCGCATACACCATCACAGCCTGTGTATTTCTGTGTATTTTTGTCCCAGTTGGTTCTGTTTCTCAGGCTTTTCTTCCTCCTTGCATCACATGGTACCATGCAATATCTATTTCCTCTGTGGTCCTCCAGAGTGCCAGAATCTCTGGGAGGGAGCTTTGACAGACATCTCTTCTGAGTCCCCCAAGCGGCGTGGGTTGTTGGATTTTACTGAGCTCAACTGTCTAAGTGCAGTCGCACAGAGGCAGGCAGAGGGATGAGACGCCTAGCAGCCAAGTGGACAACACTCTGATGTCAATTCTCACCCTGTTTAGAAGTTCCAGGTCCTGGTTTCTGAGGTGAGGGGCAGACCCAGTCCCATGGTAGCAGTATTGGTTTCAAATTAATTCAACAATTCCCTGTTGCTCTTACTCTGGCTTCAGCACTCTGCTGGGTATTGGGGGACTTCAAAGGCAAGATGAGAAGATCTCAAGACTCCCTCACCCCACCTTTCATTCTGACCCAAGGAAGAAGAGCACTCATCTGGTTGGCCAGACTTCAGGACATATTTGCAAGTGGGTGTGGTCACTATGCATAAAAGATAAGCTGAGGATGTGGCTGCAGAGGTTCTCTCTTCACCCAGCAGATGCACTTCATGGGCCCAGGCTGAGGCACTGTCCTTCCATGTGGCTGGCTAGAGCACAAGAAGAGCAGAGATTTGGTGAGAACAAGGCCCCCATACTCAGCCCAGCTGACCCTAGTTCTCTGCATGGGGTTTATGGTCCAAGCCCAGCTACCAGCCAAGGTAACTTCCTCCTCTATTCTTCTTCTAGGGCTCCCTCTGGGACTTTGCAGGTAGTGGTTGCTAGGGTCTAGGTCTGCCTGGATGCCCTAGCCCTTACACATGGATTAGCACCTCAGTACTGCCAATAGCTTTGATAAGGAGCCATCACCCTCCAGCTCAGCAGGGAGGCTAGCACAGTGCTGAAGGAGGAGGGAAGAGCTAGAATATGGCTTCATCAGGGAGTTGGGAAAGGCTTCACAGAGACAGCAGAGTTTAACACTGGCCTTGAAAGACACATAGAGGCTGGGCGCAGTGGCTCACGCCTGTAATCCTAGCACTTTGGGAGGCCGAGGCGGGCGGATCACAAGGTCAGGAGATCGAGACCATCCTGGCTAACATGGTGAAACCCCGTCTCTACTAAAAAAAAAAAAAAAAAAAAATTAGCCGGGCGTGGTGGTGGGTGCCTGTAGTCCCAACTACTCAGGAGGCTGAGGCAGGAGAATGGTGTGAACCCGGCAGGCAGAGGTTGCAGTGAGCCCAGATTGCGCCACTGCACTCCAGCCTGGGCGACAGAGCGAGACTCTGTCTAAAAAAAAAAAAGAAAAGAAAGACACATAGGATTCCATAGAAATTTGGAGGCAAAATTGACAAATGGGATCTAAATAAACTAAAGAGCTTCTGCACAGCAAACAAAACTATCATCAGAGTGAACAGGCAACCTACAGAATGGGAGAAAACTTTTGCAATCTACCCATCTGACAAAGGGCTAATATCCAGAATCTACAAAGAACTCAAACAAATTTACAAGAAAAAAACAACCCCATCAAAAAGTGAGCAAAGGATATAAACAGACACTTCTCAAAAGAAGACAGGTATGCAGCCAACAAACATATGAAAAAAAGCTCATCATCACCGGTCACTAGAGAAATGCAAATCAAAACCACAGCGAGATACCATCCCACGCCAGTTAGAATGGCGATCATTAAAAGTCAGGAAACAACAGGTGCTGGAGACGATATGGAGAAATAGGAACACTTTTACACTGTTGGTGGGTGTGTAAATTAGTTCAACTATTGTGGAAGACAGTGTGGCGATTCCTCAAGGATCTAGAACCAGAAATACCATTTGAACCAGCAATCCCATTGCTGGGTATATACCCAAAGGATTATAAATCATTCTGCTATAAAGACACATGCACACGTATGTTTATTGCAGCACTGTTCACAATAGCAAAGACTTGGAACCAACCAAAATGCCCATCAATGATAGAGTGGATAAAGAAAATGTGGTATACATACACCATGGAATACTATGTAGCCATAAAAAAAGATGCGTTCATGCCCTTTGCAGGGACATGGATGAAGCTGGAAACCATCATTCTCAGCAAACTAACACAGGAACAGAAAACCAAACACCGCATGTTCTCACTCACACGTGGGAGTTGAACAATGAGAACACATGGACAGGGAGGGGAACGTTACACACCAGGGCCTGTCGGGGGGCGGGAGGCAAGGGGAGGGATAGCATTAGGAGTAATACGTAATGTAGATGATGGGTTGACGGGTTCAGCAAACCACGATGACACGTGTATATCTATGTAACAAACCCAGGAGTTCAAGGTTACAGTGAGCTGTGACTGTGACACTGCACTTCAGGCTGGGTGACAATGAGACCCCGTCTCTTAAAAAAAAAAAAAGTTTTCACCTAATTTAGTAGGTACCTGGGAGCCACTGAAAGCTATGAGCAGGAGAAGGATCTAAGTGTTAAAAGGATGACTCTGGCAGAAGTGTGTAGGATGAATTAGAGCCAAACAAGGGGTGAGAGGACCAGTTAGAATGCAGAGACAGCAACCCAGGCAAGCAGAATGTAAGGGCGGGGTGGTGGAGCTAGACCAGAGGCCCCAGGTGGAGCGAGCATGGAACCTGGAGGGTTTCATCCCAAGGAAGAGACAAGCTGGACTGCGGAAGATTGCTGTAATGGCTACAGGACAATGAGGGTGCCCACCAGAGAATCTGGGAAGATGAGGAAGGTGGGGCTGGTTTGCAGAAAAATGAGCCTGGCCACCTACCCCAGACCTCTCCACCTCACCTACTACCACTGCTCCCAGAATACACCTGCAGTGGTGTCCCTGGGCTGCTGTAGTCAAGAGCTGGAATATCCTTCCCCCAGCTCCCCTCCCCTTCCTCACCAGGCTCTCTCACTTATTCTTCAGTTCTCAGCTCCAGCATTGCCTTCTCCTAGAAGCAGCCCCCGAGTCCCACAGTCAGACTTAGTCAAATGCCCTTCTTCCTCCCCAGTACAGTTTCTCACTCACCTCCATCCTAACACTTGTGCTGGGTGAACTGCAGTTACTGGTTCACTTCTGTTTCCTCAATCTTCCCAAAGCCTTTTGAAGACAGGTGTTTAGTTTATCCAACATGTATGCGACAATATTTATTGAGCACCTACTATGTTCTAACTCCCAGGTGCTGAGAACTCGCTGTGGAGCAAGGAATGCTTAGTCCAGTGGAGGAAGGAGGTGGCCGTTTGAACCGATGCACGGCTAGCTCTTCTTTGACTCTTTGTTCTTCACCACTAGCAAGGCCTGGCACAGAGAAGACTCTGAATAAATGGTGGTGGAGTGAAAGGAGGACATAATGATTGGGAAGTGTTGCAGGACATCCAGAAAGCAACTAGGAACGAGGGCTGGAGCTTAGGAGAGGTGACCGCAGAGGGATATTTTTGGAATTCTGCCCTGATCATCTGTAAGTCTGTGTGAGTTGCATTAAACCTGATGTGGAGAGTGCGTGGGGGTCTCAGAGCTTAAAGGAAATATGAAGACAGTGAGCAAGCTCCCACCCACATTGCCTGTGCACTCCCAGCACTGCTTGCATGAGCAGGGGACAGACACATCCCTGGCACAGGGAGGCTGTTCCCACTCGGAGCACATCTGTTGAGGGAATGAGGACACCAAGTCTGCCCGCACCCTAAGGCCAAACATCAGTTGAGCATCCAACACTTACGCTACCGAAAGCTGCTGTCCGAGGAAGCATGAGAGACAGTGGGGAAAAGCACAGCTGCCTCCATGCAGTGTCCCAGCAGCAAACCATGTCTGCAGGCTCTAGACCCACCAGTGATTTTTCTTCTCTTCCTAATTCAATGCAAGGTTTCAGCTCCATCTGAGTGCCTGTGGCACTGAGAAAATTAAATGTAGATTTAATTAATCCCAAATGACCTTAGCTCACTGCACCCTCCACCTCCCAGGTTCAAGCAATTCTCCTGCCTCAGCCTCTCAAGTAGCTGTTCATGCGAAGTGACATTGAAAATGGAAAGACCCTATTCTGGGCATCATTTCTGCTGGTCCTATAAAAGAGTTATCCAAATTCCCACTCAAGAGCTCCCCTTCTGGCTCCCTGGGGGAAGCCAGCCAGGTGAAGACTCCTTTACTCTCCCGCAACTCTAAAATGCACTGTATAAGTTCTTGTGGACAAATTGCCATTAGGAACAGCTTCCAGTTGTCTGAAAACACCTGCGAATAAACAACCCCATCCCAGTCAAACTGTATGGCTTACCTTTGGAGGTTTCTGAACTTCTGAGCCCTTTTGCCATCCTAGCCCCACCTCTATAGTGCCGATGACCTTCAGCTCCTCCTCTAATGAAGATTCTAGACTGAAAGGTCCATGAGGAAGGAGCCATGCCATGGTTCACTATCACAGCATCTAGTACATCTCCTGGAACATAGTAGGCCCTTGCTAAGGATTTGCTATGTGGATTCAACACCTCTCTTGTATAAGATATAAAGATGTATAGGAGGCCGGGTGTGTTGGCTTACACCTGTAATCCCAGCACTTTGGGAGCCCAAGGTGGATGGATCACCTGAGGTCAGCAGTTTGAGACCAGCCTGGCCAACATGGTGAGATCTTGTCTCTACCAAAAATACAGAAACTAGCTGGGTGTGGTTGTGCGCACCTGTAATCCCAGCTACTTGAGAGGCTGAGGCAGGAGAATCGCTTGAACCCAGGAGGTGGAGGTTGCAGTGAACCGAGATCACACCATTGCGCTCCAGCCTGGGCAAGAAGAGTGAAACTCCGTCTCAAAAAAAAGATGTATAGGATACGTTTCCCACCTTGGGACCCATCCTCCTTCACAGGACACAGTCTGGAGAGGGTGTCCCAGGTCTCTTCCCACCAACAGTCCTTTCTCCGGATGTGCCAGGGCTGGCCATTCCCAGCAGTGAGACGCACTCCTGGGTGGCACCAGGGTCAGAAGAGCATGGGTCTAGCCATGGTGGCTCCTTTAGCCTTCCACTCAGGACCCTTCCTCTGAGCCTACAAATAATGCAGGCTGGCCTCCCCCATTCTCGACCCTCATTTTCCCCCATCAGCCCAGCACTCCCTGTTCCCTCTAGGATGCTTCCAGGAATATACAGCACCGTTTCAGAGAGGATTGAATGGCATGGCTTCTTTAGCGACCTAGAACACTTAAGCCAACCAAATTCCTGCTTTATTTTACACAACCAGGTATAACAGCAGAATTCTTCATCCTCATTAGAAAGCTGTTAGTGCATAGTCCATAGAGAGAGACATCATGGTTAAGAGCCAAGTTCAAGAGCCTGGACACCTCAACTCCATCCTGGCTCTGCCACTTGCTTTCTAGTGGTGTTGGGGAAAGTGCTTCATCTCTGTTGGGGTCAGTTTTCTCACCTCTAAAATGAGGTTGATATTAATAGTTCCTACCTCATTGGGATATTATGAGGGTTAAATGAGATCATCCATCTAAAGCACTTAGAAAGTGAGTATGCAATACAAACCTTCATTATTATCTGTATTTATAGTTTACAGAGGGCCCCACCAGAGGTGTTAACTCTAATTTACAAATATGAGAGGGTGCACACACACTCGCTCTCTTTTCTCAATTTAGGGCAGCACATTCCACTTCACCTTTCTATCCGCAGGAGGCTCCTTTCTGCCTCCTCACGGAAACACCTCCACCAAATCCCACTGCCTCTCTCCCAGCCCACAAAACTGGTCATCTCCCGTGCCCTCCTGTCTGCTCTGTATTAATCAGCACAGCCTGTTTCAGATGCCCCCCAAAGCTTAGTGGCTCAACACAACAAAGGCGAGTTTTGCCTTCAGAGTCCAATATGAGTTAAGTGTAGGGGACATTCTACTCCACTAAGGTATTCGGGGACCCGGGCTCCTCCCAAGTAGCTCTACTGTTTTTCAGGGCCTTGGAGTCCCACCCTGGGTCTCCTGCATCCAACAAGCAGACGGGAAGAGAATAGAGGGAGGATGGTCTGGCAGGTTTTAGGACCGTGCCAGGCAGGGCTGCTCATCCCTTTAGCTCACCTTCCGCGGGCCAGAAAACCAGCCCCATTGTTAGCAGCGGTGAATTTGCAGAGGTGTGCAGCAGCTTGATTCTTGTCCTCTCAGAGGAAAGAATTCGGCTGAGGGGCAGAAGTAGTTTTAAGGCAGAGGGAGAGACCGAGGCAAGTTTTAGAGCAGGAGTGAAAGTTTATTAAAAAGTTTTAGAGCAGGAACAAATGGAAGTAAAGTACACTTCGAAGGGGGCCAAGCGGGTGACTCGAGAGATCCAAGTGTGCCATTCAGCCCTTGACTTGAGGTTTTATATATTGACACGGTTCCAGGGTTTCTGTTTCTCCTCCCTTGATTCTTCCCCAGGGGCGGGCTGTCCAGGGCTGCCCACTTGCGTGGTGGCCTGCCGGCACTTGGGAGGGGCCACATGCACAGCATGTTTACTGAAGTTATGCACATGCTCATTTGAGGCATTCCTCCCCTTACTAGTCGAGTGTTCCTAGAGGAAGGTCATATACAGGTTAAACTCTGTCATTTTGCCTCTTAATGCGCATGCTTGAGCCCACTCGCCCGGCTCCTGAGATCTTCCCAGGAAGCGGCTGCTTACCAGCTTCAGGTGTTTTCTATTGGGAGACTTCCTTTCCTTGGTGCCAGCTATGCCCAATTATTATTTTAGATTGACAGTTAACAACTGCCTGACATTGCTGTGGGCGGTGGCGGGGTCCTCTCCTGCCCTGCTCATTTCTGCTTAGCTTCCTACTCTAATACTATGACCCCACCTTACAGCAGTGGAAGCTCAGAAAGATAACCTTTCCGGCCGGGTGCAGTGGCTCATGCCTGTAATCCTAGCACTTTGGGAGGCCGAGGCGGGAAGAGTTCAGGAGTTCAAGACGAGCCTGGCCAACGTGGTGAAACCCTGTCTCTACTAAAATACAAAACTTAGCCAGGCATGATGGCGGGTGCCTGTAATCCCAGCTACTTGGGAGGCTGAGATGGGAGAATCGCTTGAACCCAGAAGACAGTGGTTGCAGTGAGCTGAGATCACGCCACTGCAAGTCCAGCCTGAGTGGCTGAGCAAGACTCCATCTCAGGAAAAAAAAAAAAAAAGATAGCCTTTCCATGTGTCCAGGAGGAGAATCAAACCTGTTTTATGAACATATTGTATCTTTTCTGCTACCTGCTCCTGAAGCAGAGGCTTTTCTGGGAGGAAACTTGAATCTATTCTCTTCAGGCCATTCTCTTAGAAAACAGGCCCAAAGTGATACTCCATGTTTCCCTGCAAATCCTGTAGCAGACGATGTCTCGTCATGAAATCCTGCAGGCAGACATGGGAGAAAGAAGGTGGTCTTCGGGAGAGACGGAGCTGGTGCTGCTCTCAGCTCCGCCGCTCCTTGGCAGCTCAGCTTCCTCCTTTGTAGGAGGGAAGTGGTGGCATGGAGGGCTTTGAGCATTGGTGACAACATATATGAAGAGTGGCCAGGGATATTACTGTCCTTGGCCCTGCTCCCCTGTTCTCCCACCCCCCAACCACCTACCACCACCCACCACCACCCGTCCAGAGTCAGAGTCAGGGCTGCCAGGACAGGCACGAGTTCTTCTGGCTGCCTGGGTGGTCTGGTTTGTTTTCAGCCAGTCAACCCCGCTGACAGGGCAGAAACAATGGGGAAGGGGAATAAGGATCAGGACAGCCTACGAATGTAATTAAGCGAAAGCAAAATCTGAAAACCCAAATCCCTCTCCAGCCCCAACCGATGCCAGCTTGATCTTTTTTGTTTCTGGACCCCGCCCCCAATGCACGCCCCCACACTTCAAGCTCAGCTGATCCAGATGGTCTGTGGATGCTGAGAGCCAAACAGTGTGGGGAATTGGTTGTTTCATAAGCTCCTACAGACTCTGTCACTAATTGTAAACCCATTTGGGACACATTCTGAAACAAGAGGCTTTTCACTAACTTCTAGTTCCTAAACAAACAAACCAACAAACACAAATCAGGATTCATGATTTCTCTCTTATTCTACCCCTCCCCAGGCTCCTCCTCACCTTGCTTTAAAACAATTACTTGGGAAACAAAGGGCAACACCCACTTCGTGTGCCTCTGGTAATACCGCTGTCACCTACGAGCTCTGGAAGCAAGCGAGTCATTGTTCTCCTAGCAACCCGAACTGCCCCAGCTGCACGTGTCTGGTGCTTGGATTACACCAGCCAGCAGCGGGGGTGTGCATGTTGCTAGGAGAACTTGAACTGGAGTTTAAATTTGCAACCTCTCCTCACTGCCACAGCTTTCTTTCAGCCGCAAACAGACACATGCTCAACTGCAGAATCCACAACACTGGGCCCAACTGGGAAATCCCCAGCCTCAGATAAGACCGGTGTGCTTTTATCCTTTTTTCTTATTTTCTTCTTTCTTGAATTTCAGACAGAGTCGACAACCACACAAATAACTAAGAATTATGAAGATCCATTGTACAATATCGACTGAACACCTCCTATGGCCGGCTGCTGTCCTGGGCACTTCAGACACAGCATGAAGGAAACAGACAGAAGACCTTCCCCTTAGAGAGCTTGTATCTGGGGTAGGGAGGATGCTAAGCAAATAAACACATCAGTATCAGTCAGGGGTCTCCAGACAAACAGAGCCAGGAGTTAGATTAGCTCTAAATCTAGATGGCATAGATGTGTGTATGTGTACATATTACATACCTGTATAAAGGAATTTATCTCAGGAATTGGCTCATACAGTTGTGAAGGCTGGCAAGTCTGAGATCTGTGGAGCGGGCTAGCAGGCTGGAAACTCATGTAGGAATTGATGCTGCAGTCCTGGGGCAGAATTGCTTCTTTCATAGGGAAACTTCAGTTTTGCTCTTCAAACCTCTCCACTGATTAGATGAGGCCCACCAAGCTATCAAGGGTAATCTCCTTTACTTAAAGACAGCTGATCATAAGTGCTTACCACATCTATAAAATACATTCACAGCAACACTGGGTTAGCATTTGCTTCAATAACTGGGTCTTATAGCTTAGCCAAGTTTGACACATAAAACCAAGCATGCCAAATGCATGCCCAATGTGTTGGGTAGTGATAAGTAAGTACAATGGGGGAAAAGAAAGCAGGTGGAGAGGGACAGGGAGCCCCAGGCAGTGGGGCACAGGAGACCTACCACGTGAGATATAATACATCATTCAATACAAACTTGAATGAAAAATAAATGAACATACCGAGGCACTGCATTCAAAAAGCACAACAAAATCCTCACTTAGTGACAGATCTGCTTAATCATAACTCTGCAGCACTGGAATTGAGGACAGGAGAGAGGCCATTCGCAGAGCTGTAATTAATATCAGCACAGCCAAAGCAAGAAGCAAGCGTTTAGTCTCCAGTCTTGATGGATCTTCAGAAACAGATCCCTGTCTACAACAGCCTCCTGGCTGAATTCCTGCTTCCACGCTCGCCCCTCCCGCCACTCCTCTGCTCCCACCCCTGACAGTGGTCACAGGTGCCTGGCCTCTTCTCCCCGCTGCCCCGCTTCACTTCCCTGCACCGCCCCCTCCCACTGCAGCTGCAGTCCCGGTAGCTTCTTGCTGGTTCCCCAGCACTCCTTCTCGCTTCTGCCCCAGGCCTTTGCTGCTCGTCCTCCACATCCTGGAAGGGTCTCCTCCCAGCCATGTGCCTGGCTCTCCCCGCACATCCTCCTCAGAAAGGCCAGCCTTGACCACCCCATAAAATAACACCCTCCTCATCACTCTCTGCCTCCTTAGCCCATCTTCTTGGTCTTCATAGCGTGTATGTTAAATATCTATTTCTCTGTTGATTGCCTTCTCTCACTCTGTTTTTTTAAATTGTAGTAAAATAATATAAAATTTACCATTTTCAATTGCACAATTCAGTGACATTTAGCACATTCCCAGTCTTAGACAACCATCACCACTACCTAGTTCCAGAACATTTTCGCCACCCCAAAGGAAACCCATACCCATTAAGCAGCCACTCCCCATTTCTCCCTCCTCCAAGCCCTGACAATCTGTCTCTGTCTCTGTCTTCTGTCTCTGCAGCTTTGCCTATTCTGGGTATATTACATGAAAGGAATCATACAGTATGTGGCCTTTTCTGGCTGACTTCTTTCGTGCAGCATGATGTCTTCGAGGTTGGTCCGTGCTGTAGCATGGGGCAGTACTTCATTCCATCTACGGCTGAAGAGCGTTCCATTGTGCGGGTGTGCCATGTTTGTTTCTCCATTCATCCACTGATGGACATTTGGGTTGTCTGCACCTTCTGCCATTGTGAATGATGCCACAGTGAACATACATGTGTGGTGTTTGTTTGAAGGGGACTCTGTCTCCATCATTTTGTGTCCCTGGCCTGTGAACAGACCTGCAGATTAAACTGTGGACAGCTTAATCTTCAGGCAAATAAAAAAAAGGCAAAGTTTGGCATCTAATTTAATTTTCCCCAGGCCCCTTTATCAACCTTCTCTGCCACAGCAAGGCCAAACCTTTGTATCCACACCTAACCAATACCCACACCCTAAGCCAAACCCATCCAACAGAGGGGCAGGGGTCCAGCTGGGCTCCTCCCAGCTCCCTACTTCCCAAAGGTAAGACATCCAGGCCATCGAGCCAAATGTGCCCTTCGGAATTTCCATACAGCCCCAGGATTCCCCCAAAACAAAGCTCTTTGTCCTCAGGTAAAGGCTGACTAGTAGGCTAATAAGACTTTGGATATTTCTTTGAATGGGATAAAATCTCAAATTTTACGATTAGAAATCAGGCCCTAAGAAACATCCCTGGGACTCGTTTCCAGGGCTGCCATAACAAAGTACCACAAACCAGGTGGCTTAAACCAACAGAAATTCATTTTCTCATTATTCTGGAGGCCAGAGGCCTGAAATCCAGGAGTCAGCAGGGCCCCGCTCCCTCTAGAGGCTCTGGGGAGGAGTCCTTCCTTGCCTCTTCCAGCTCACAGTGGTTTCCAGCAGTCTTTGGCCTTGTTCTTGGCATGCAGGTGCCTAATCCCATCTCCACCTCCACCTCCATCTTCACATGGCATTCCTCCCTTGTATCTCACATCGTCTTCCTTTTTTTTTTTTTTTTTTTTTTTTTAGACAGAGTCTCACTCTGTCACCCAGACTGGAGTGGCGCCATCTCAGCTCACCGCAACCTCTGCTCCTGGGTTCAAGTGATTCTCTGCCTCAGCCTCCTGAGTAGCTGGGATTATAGGTGCCCATCACCACACTCAGATAATTTTTGTATTTTTAATAGAGATGGGGTTTCACCATGTTGGCCAGGCTGGTCTCGAACTCCTGACCTCAGGTGATCCATCCACCTCGGCCTCCCAAAGTGCTGGGATTACAGGCATAAGCCACCACACCCGGCCCACATCATCTTCTTAAAAGGACATCATTCATATGGGATTAAGGGCCTATCCTACTCCAGCATGATCTCATCTTAACTAATTCATCTACAATGACCATATTTCCAAACAAGGTCAAATTCTGCAGTAACTGGGGGTTAGGACTTCAACATATCTTTTCTGGAGACGTAATTCGTCACTTTGGAGAAGGGGTCATGGGATGTATAGCCTCGATTTTACTAAAGTGTAAATGATTGGTAAGGTATTGAGGAGGGCAGGGAGCTGCGTACAAATGAAGAAGACCATGCGTAGGCAGGGTTCCACTGATGAGGAGAAATGGGCAAGAAACAGGAGAATGGAGCCTTCCTCTCTCTTCCTCTGTCTTCCCTGCAATTTAGCTGAGGGCCAAATCTGTACCTTGCAGCCAGCGCAGCTGCAGAACAGGGCAAGGAGGTATCTCAAGTCTCCTAGAGGGACCCTTGGAATGTGCAGAGCAGCTCACTCCTCTGCTCAGAACCCTCCAAGAATTCCCTTGTGAGCCCGGCTAATGCCCACAGGGCCCCAGGCCATCTTCCCTCCACACTCCCGCTCCTATCCCTTCCCCACCTCTCACTCCACGCCAGCCACACTGGGTTCCATCCTGTCCTTGAAAATGCCCAGCATGCTCCTGTCCTGGCACCTGTGTCCTCCTGGTCCCTATCCCTGGAATGTTCTTCCTTCCTTCAGAGATCTACGTGGCCCAAACTGCATTCTATCCAGCCCTCCCTGCCTCCCCTCCATCCTACCACTTTCTATGACCCTCTCTTGCTCATTTTTTCCATAGCCCTTGCCACCACCTGATGTACATAATTTACCTACTTACCATCAGTCTTCCTCCACTAGAACATGCACACATGATGGAGGGAACATCGTGCTGTGCTCTTCATGGCCATACTCCTGGCCTCCCAGCAGCCCTGGCCTGTATTAGGTGGTCAGTGAAGTATCATCAGATAAAGGAAGCTGCTGTGCCACACCAGGTGCTGGAGGAGCTCTGCAGCTGCTGGAGGGCCCCTGCACTGGGGCTGGTGTCCTGAGGGTCAGGGAGGGGTGGCTGGGCTTCAGATCCCTTCCTGCCTTGGGCACAGGGACGACCCCAACCTTACCTGGAAGGGTTGCTGTCCTCAGCAGGCCCCACACGGCCCCACGCCTCCCAGAATTGCTTGCCTCAGGCTGGGGAGGGAGTGGCCTCGGGTTCACCTGTTTCCTGGCTCTTCCTGGCAGCCTCTGCCACTCCAGCCTGGGTAGTGGGGAGCCAGAGGGTCCATCTAGGCGTGCATTTTCTGTTTCCTGCAGCTGATGCAAAAAATCACCACAAACTCAGAGGTTTAAAACAACACAGTATTATTCTCTTACAGTCCTGGAGGTCAGAAGTCCAAAATAAGGCTAATGGGGCTAAAATCAAGGTATCAGCGGGACTGGTTCCTTCCAAAGCGTGGGGAAGACAATCCATGGCCTGCCTTGGCCCCTCCTCCGTCTCCAAAGCACAGCCGTCCGGTCTCTGCGAGTGCATCCCTCCAGTCTGTGCTTCCCGGATCTTCCTGCCTTCTCCTCTGACTCTGACTCCTGGGTCCCTCTGATGAGAACCTTTGTAATTACCTGGGGCCCACCTAGATAAGCCAGGCTAATCACTTCAAGATCTTTAACTGCATGGACGAAGTCCCTCTTGATCTATGTGAACACTCCTAGTGCCAGGGATAAGGGCATAAGCATATCCGGGAGCTGTTGTTCAGCCTCCGGCTGGCAGGAATGGAGCAGCCCTGCTCCCTAACCACTGTCAGGATGTTACTGGAAAGAAGTCCTGATCCAGACCCTAAGGAAGGGCGCTTGGAGCTCACACAAGAAAGAATTTGGGGCAAGTTCACAGAGTAAAGTGAAAGTAAGTTTATTTAAAAAGTAAAGGAATAGGCCAGGCATGGTGGCTCACACCTGTAATCCCAGCACTTTGGGAGGCTGAGGCGGGTGGATCACCTGAGATCAGGAGTTTGAGACCAGCCTGGCCAACATGGTGAAACCCCATTTCTACTAAAAATACAAACTTAGCCGGGCATGGTGGCTCATACCTGTAGTCCCAGCTACTCAGGAGGCTGAGGCAGGAGAATCGCTTGAACCCAGGAGGCAGAGGTCGCAGTGAGCTGAGATCACACCACTGCACTCCAACCTAGGCAACAGAGTAAGACTGTCTCAAACAAACGAACAAAAAAAAAGTAAAGGAATAAAAGGGTGGCTACTCCATAGGCAGAACAGCCCCGAGGGCTGCTACTGGCTATTTTTATGTCTTGATCGTATGCTAAACAAGAGGTGGATTATTCATGAGTTTTCTGGGAAATGGGGCAGAGATTTCCCTAGGAACTGAGGGCTCCTCCCCATTTTAGACGTACATGGTAACTTCTGGGCATTTGTAAACTGTCATGCACCGATGGGAGTGTCTTCAGCATACTAACGCATTCTAATCAGCGTATAATCAGCAGTGAGGGTAACCAGAGGTCACTTTCGTCACCATCTTGGTTCTGGCAAGTTTGGGCCAGCTTCTTTACCACATCCTGTTTTATCAGTGGGGTCTTTGTGACCTGCATCTTGTGACCTTCTGTCTCATCCTGTGGCTGAGAATGCCTAACCTCCTGGCGATGCTGCCCAGCAGTTCTCAGCCTCATTTCACCCAGCCCCTATTCAAGATGGAGTCACTCTGGTTCCAACACCTTTGACAATGACGTGCCAGGCACCTGTCCCACCCTGCTGAGGTGGGACTTTCCCTCCCAGAGTCCTTCTATCAGCTCTTCCTCAACTCCAGCTTCAGATCCCCCAATACCCGACCCCAGGCTTTCCCACAGTTCCAGGACAGCTGCAGCCCCTGGTTACACCTTTTTGCTAAGGCCGAACCAGGGCTGGGCAGTCTCAGGAACTGGCGTCTCTGAGGCCGGGATGGTGGCACCTCCTTCAACTTTGAGGGGAGGGGTACAGAGACAAAGCAGGGATGAGAGGGATAGGTTAATATCCCAAGGTCAGTTTCACTCTTTTTTCTTCTGTTCTTTTGCCTCCTGCTTCTTCTCTTCCCCAGAAAACACTCTGGCTTTTCTCCCTCTAGTTCTCCATCTTCCCCTACCTTAGCTAGTGACACTCAGTGCATCCAGCACTTTCCATAGTCAGTGCATGGAGGAGGGCATTCACAGAGTCTATGCTGGGGCTCTCGCTCCCCTCACCCCACCCCACACACAGGAATCACATTCTGAATGATGTTCGATGGGAAAAGAGGCCAAGCACATGGACACTGCCCCACCTCAGCCCAGGGTGACCACAAGAGCTGCAGAGCCATGAGGGTCACTCCCAGTGCCACCATCATCCCTGATGGCTGTGAGACCCACCCCCAGAGAGACTCCGTTTTCTCTTCTATAAAATGGAGATCATCCCTTTCAGGATGACTGTCCCTACCTGTGGTCCCCAAATTCCTGTCATAACTGACAAAATGTCCATGACGTGGAAGAATCGTTGTAACAGCAGAACAAGGAAGAGACAGAGATCATGGCTGCAAGAACCTCAGACTGCATGGGCACCTGGGGCCAGAGGTCAGGAGAACCCACAGCGTCCAAGACCAAGCCTTAACCAGGGCAAGTGCCAACTTTCACAGTGGTTTTATACGCTGGAACAGCCTCTGGACCCCTCCCATTGTCCCCCCTCAGGCCCCAGCAAACCCCACAGGGCCGAAGAAGAGGTCCTGTAACCGCCCAAGGGGTTCACCTTGCCTCCTGCCTAAACAGAGCCAATTTATCAACATAGGGGAATTGCAACAGAGAAAGAGTAATTCACACAGAACCAGCTGTGCAGGAGATCAGAGTTTTATTGTTACTCAAATCAGTCTTCTGGAAAACTCAGGGATCAGAGTTTTTAAGGATAATTTGGTGAGTAGGGGGCCAGTGATTCAGGACTACTGATTGGTTGGCCCGTAGAAGCTGTTTTCTGCTGAGTCAGTTCCTGGGTGGGGGCCCCAGAACTGGCTGGCAGGTCCAGGTGGGGCCATCCAGTTGTTAGAAATGTAAAAACCTGAAAATACATCTCAAAAGGCAGATCTTGGCTCCACAATAGTGATGTTACCTTCAAGAGTAACTGGGGAAGTTGCAAATTTTATGACCTCCGGAATAATGGCTGGTAATATTTAGAATTCTAGCCCCTCTCGTCTTGACTTGGTGGCTGGTGGCCTTTCATTTGTTTTACAAGAACAGTTTAGCCTTTTGGGAAAGGCTATTATATAAACTATACACTAAATTCCTTCTCAAAGCTAGTTCAGCCTATATCCAGGAATGAACAAGGACAGTTTAGAGGTTAGAAGCAAGATGGGGTCAGTTATGTCTGATATCTTTTGCTGTCATAATTTTCTGTTATGATTTTTGCAAAGGTGGTTTCAGCCTCTAGAGCAATCCTATCTCTTATTGCCACACACTGGTGAGGCCAGCATTGTCCTTGGAAGAAACAACTTCCCTAGACGTTCCACCTCCCATGCAGGCTGGTTCCAACAGTGACACTCCTTAAGGTGGCTGAGTAGCCCACAGAGACAGGGAAGTGAGGCGGGAGAGAAAGCACACTTTTAACTGCCTGATTCTTCCTATAATTCCTCAGCTGGCTGTGGGGGCCGCGAAGTGACGTGAGGAAAACACAGAAGGGGCCCTCGGGAATTGCTGGTTCTCTCCCCACTGCTGCCCTACAAGGGGCCCCTGCATAAGGCCCTCAAAGCCTCTGAGCCTCCGTCACCTGTTAAATGAGTTGACGACTGGCCCTGCTGAAACTGCCTTTGCAAAAATTATAGCAGAAGATTATGACAGCAAAAGAGATCTGATCTAACCAACCCCCATTTTGTCTTTAACCTCCAAACTGCCCTCCATCATTCCTGGGCATGGGCCAAGCTACCTTTGGGAGACATTTAGTTTGTAGTTTAAACAGTAATAGCCCTTCCCCAAAACTAAAATGCCTTTGAAATGAAAGGCGGTTTACTAACGAAAATCTATGAATGAAAGACCACCAGGTTAAGAGGAGGAGGGGAACCTAGCCGCTGCTGAGGTGTAGACATAAACGATTACCAGCCATTATTCCAGAGGTCAGAAAATTTGCAACCTCCCCAATTACTTCTGCAGATCACAGCACTATTATAGAACCTAAGATTGGTTTGAGACCTTTTTCAGACTTACCCACCTGGACAAGTGGCTCGAGACTCAGCCAGTCTGTGGCTCCCCAACCCAGAGGTGAACTCAGCACACGAGGACTGTTTTCCACAGCCCTAGAATTGCATCCCCAACGAATTGGCCCATTCCCCCTGCCTCCCAAAAAAACCTTGAAAACCTCTAGCCTCCAAATTTGATTTGAGTTATAATATAACTCTAGTCTCCTGTTTAGCCATCTCTACGTGAATTAAACTTTCTCTATTGCAATTCCCCAGTCTTGACCATCAGCTCTTTCTGGGCCGCAGGCAAAATGAACACACTGGGTGGTTACACCATTGCCTTGTGTATGAGGGCCACCTTGAAGTCACTTGGCACAACATACAAATGTGTTACATAAAAGAACAATGAGGAATAAAGAGATGGTTAGGCAGTGCAGTCATTTCCTAGGGCTGCCATAACAAAGTGCCACACACTAGATGACGTAAAACAACAGAAATCTACTGTCTCACAGCTCTGGAGGCCTAAAGTCTAAGATCAAGTTACCCTCAGAAAGGAGCTGTTCCAGGCCTCCCTACAGGCTTCTGGTAGCCTCAGGCATAGCCGCCTCACTCTTCACAGGGCGTTGCCTCATCACAGGGTGTTGCCTTCACAACATCTTCCCTGTGTGTGTGTTTGTCTCTGTGTCTAAATTTCCCCTTTTCATAAGGACACCAGTCATATTGACTAAGGCCCACCCAATGACCTTATTTTAATTTGATTATCTTTGTAAAGACCCTATTTCCAAATAAGGTTACATTCTGAGGTACTGGAGGTTAGGACTTCAACATATCTTTCCGTTCAACCTATGACAGGCAAGGATTGGTAAATGTTTTCTGGAAAAAGCCAGATAGTAAATATTTTAGACTTGTGAGCCACTGTCTCTGTCACAACTACTCACTTCTGCTGTGGCAGCCCGAAAGCAGCTGTAAACAATACATAAATGAATGAGCCTGACTTTTTCTGATAAAACTTTCTTTATAACAATAAGTTGTGGGCCAGATTTGGTTGGCAGGCTATAGTCTGCCAATCCCTAGGTTAGAACACCAATTTTAAAACAAGGAAAAAGAGTTTCTGCAGCCTTTCTGAAAGAGGGGACTCAGTCAGGGA